CCGCCGGCCGCGCCTCGCGGCGCGCGTCCGCACTAAACGCGCGTCACGGAGTGATCGATAGATAACGGCGAACTGCGTGCGTCAAATCCGTAAAGTCCGTGTCTCACTATGCATTGGAGGATTGCGAGTAGAGATTAGATTTCTCGACCGGTCGGATAATTTTAATTTCAATCTGTTTTATTCTGATTAATTAAATTCTAATCTTCATTTTGCAATCCTCAATCTCCAACGGTTTTATAATGTACAGTATGACACGGGCTTAAAAGCTGCTCAAGGGGGTCGATTGTATGTCTTGGAATGAGAAAAAATTACAATAATGAACAAAATTCACAAATTCTTGACCAATGAAGTGATAAATATTCTAATGAACTTGCTCATTTTTGTAATTTGCACATACATATAGTACATTACATCAATATGTGATATTAGCTGTCATATGGTCATAATTAAAATCATAAATGTTGATATTATAGCGTTTGTCACTGGCAGAGCTGGTGCGCACTCAGTGCACTTTAAAGCCGTTGTATACAAATCGACGTAAAGATGTACGTTTAATAAAAATATAGAAATAAATTAAACTGTAAAATCCTCAATACATTTTATTGTGGTATTTGATAAAATGTACATTAAGTATTTTATTAATTGAGATATCTCACTTTTACATTCAGTTTAGATTAGTGTACAACAGCTTTAATGTGTACTGAGTGCGCACCAATTCTGCCAGTGAAAAATGCTATTAGATGACATTAGTATGAAGACAGTCATATAAAAAAAAAGACAAACACTGTCCTCCTACGTTGATCAAATACATACATTTGGCAGTTCAATTAAGTTTGATAAAATAAAAATGTATATTCTGTAATATAATATCATATGTAACATTAAATAAATAAAACATTTTTTTATTGGTCAATTAGTAAAATTTTTTCTTCTGACTGGTCAATCAAAATGCTTCGAAGCGCCAAACAGACCGTACTCTATATCGCGATACTTTTTCTTGCATCACCCTGATTCGCGTGCGATTACTGGTTAAAGAGCCTTGAACTATGTTTCCAATGGTTAATTTAACAGTATACAACAAGCTATACAGTGTTTATTTTTTAATCTGTCAAACAATACGCCGAGTAAGTTTTATGTCAAATAACTGATCGATTGATGTCTATGGCCGGTATTCATAGCCGGTTCTTACAGTTTAAAACCGTCGTAAGTAATACCTTAAGGTGCTAATACGACTTTCTCGGATGATATTTATATATAGTCAGATCTTATTTAGGACCGTGTTAAGTATAGTCTTAAGATATTATATGAACCAATCAAAGAGCGGTATTAACATCTTAACACTTAATACATCTTGAAATAAGAATGGACTATGAATGTCGCGCGGCCCTCGACTGATTTGCATTAAAAACTTCGATTAACTTGGAATTAGTGATTGTATAACTAATCGAATGATTGTTGTACTATTTTTAGTTAACATAAACAGGATTAGTTTATTGTAATTTAATATACGGGAAAAAAGATTATTTCGCTTCAAGAAATGCCGCTAGTTAATCGAACTGAACGCGGCGCTTCCTCGTCCGGATTTGAATTCCAGGGAATTTTGCGCCGCTTACTTCAAATCATTGAACGCATACAAAGCAGTGATGAGAAGTGACAAGAATTCGTCTGCTCTAGGAAACTTTATGCGCATGCGTAAAATGATGTAGTAGCTCGATCCAATCATGGAACAGACGGAGCAGTACAGAATACGGGTGCTTTCGGGACTCCTACATCTTATGCGTCGTCTACAATGGCAGTATCAGTAATGGATGAGGCTGTAAGAGTAAGAAATTAAAGAGAAGTAAAAAAAAAGACCAATCACAATCGATTAATCTTCTTACATTCAATTATAATTGCTCAATTTCTTACTCTTACGGCCTCATTCATTACCCCAGATCTACAATAGGTGTTTTAAGTCTTAAGCTGTAAGAAATTGACCAATTATAGTCGAATCCGAGGAGAATAATCGACTGTAATTCGTCTATTTCTTATGGCTTAAGGCTTAAAACCCTATAGTAGATCCGGGGTTACTGATACTGTATAGGTAATTACATATATGACAGATACTGCCAATGGCTGCGTTCAGCAGACTCAACAGTTTTGCAACAGTTTTATGATTGTCTGCTGAGATAGGACCATTCTTCCAGATCTAAAAGTATGATCCAATTAGCGCGAAGGAAACTTCCAACAGTTGCAAAACAAACGTTCTGCTGAACGCAGCGAATGGCTGCGTTCAGCAGACTCAACAGTTTTACAACCGTTTTATGATTGTCTACTGAGATAGGACCATTCTTCTAGATCTAAAAGTATGATCCAATCAGCGCGAAGGAAACTTCCAACAGTTGCAAAACAAACGTTCTGCTGAACGCAGCCATTGTAGACGACACATTAGGCCCGGTTTCACAACTCAAGGTTAATTCTTAACCGAAGTTCAATTTATTCATAGTCTCTTTGTAATTTTAGAATTGGAAAGAGATGAGAAACAAGTTGAACCTCTGTTAAGAGTTAACCGTGAGTTGTGGAACTGGGCCTTATGGCTCCTGTACACTGGAAAGCTTAACCGCACGCGGAAAAGTTTACCGCGCGACAAAATGCGACGCGGTAACCAATGAAAATGTAATTCCGGATCTACAATAGAGTTTTAAGCTATAAGCCATAAGAAATGGACGAATCATAGTCGATTATTACCCTCGAATTCGACTGTAATTGGTCAATTTCTTACGGCTTAAGGCTTAACCCCAGATCTACAATAGGGTTTTAAGCCTTAAGCCATAAGAAATGGACGAATCATAGTCGATTATTTTCTTCGAATTTGACTGTAGTTGGTCAGTTTCTTACGACTTAGGGCCACTGTCACCAAGCTCAGTTAACTTAACTGGACCAATTAATCCATCGGAATTGACCAATCTGTCAATTCTTCAAACAAGATGACAAATGCGATTGGTCAATTCCGATGGACTAACTGGCCTAGTTAAATCAACTGACAGTGGCCCTTAAAACTTAAAACTCTATTGTAGATCTGGAGTAAAACACCTATTGTAAATCCGGACTAATGCACTATTGGACCCAACAATCGCTAAACGCATGCGCATTAAGTTACAGAGCATGAAAAGGCATACTCACAGCGCTTATATCGAGTCGGTATGACAGATTTCCTAAACTGAACGGTCGTGAAATGTAACGCTAAATATCTCGGTTCGCGGGGCAGAGCGACGCTTATTTCGGACAGATTCGTTCGTTTCATGCAAAAACGCATCGAATGAGCCTAATTTCATTAAAATCGGTGAGGTCGGCCGTCATCTCCGTAATTACCAAAACTCTCTTTATTCCCTACAACTTTCTTAACAACGTTAGGGGTTTTATAGCGTTCAGGGAGCTCTTGTATCTGTTTGGTCTATATTTTTAGTTCTAACGGAATATGGCAATAAGATGCAAGCGCTCACTGAGCGTTCAGTGAGCGGTTGTAGTACTGAATGCATTGATGTTCGAGTTTCTGATTGGCAGTCTGATAAGTATTCTGATTGGGTATTCCCTCCTAAGTGAAGCAGCCATATTGTAACCACAGCTGTTTGCACAGGCTTTGACACACAGCTGACACACGTAACCTCAACCGTTAACGGAATACAGAGTTCACTCCGTTAACAAAATCAACAGAGTACATTTTTCTTTTTCAATTTTGGTTCCTGCCTTCAGTAAATCAGGGGGATCAATAGCGCCTCAACGAAGTACAGAGTGTTGGAGGTTGGAGCAAGGTTGGAGTATGTTTATTGTTTACGACACTGAAACGGTCCAATAATGACGGTGCAGGAAGTGATGGTAGGAATCCGATCTGGTGGTCGGGTTTCTTTATATACAGGACGTATATTATTCCGCAAAGCCATCACGAAGGTCAGTAGCGGTGAGATTTGGCTGACAGAAGGACAGAAAAGACGGAAAACGATAAATTCGTATCGTGTCCAACGTGACGTCCTGTCGTCGACGTTTTACGATGTCCTCATTTGATCAGAATGACAAGAACTCCCTCGCGGAGAGTTGCAAGTAAGAATACTGTCGCTTAGTAATAGCTAACTATTGACTACACAACCAAGTGCTATTCGAACCTAAGAGTGGTAACCTAAATTGTGAGACTACGCACGTTTTATACTTCCTTTTTCTTTTCTCTATGTATCAGTTGCAACAATTTTTTCTTTTTCATTTTGCTTTTCATCATAATCACAGCTCAGTTTAATTGTTCTACTACAGGAAAGATAAAAGAAAGTTTTATTTCAAAAGTTACAAGATCGAAAAAGATATTACTTCAGCAAAATTGATTTCGATACACAATTTTGGAGTTGGATATTCGTCACTGACATTTTTGTTTTAATATTCTCTAGTTACCTGAAGTTAATGCTTACTTTTACTTACTGTTAGTTTTTTAATGTAACGTGCAGATGATCCAAAGATTTATATGTAATTCTTTTTTTTTTTCAAGTTAAGATGTATTCACTGTTTTTTTAATAATTAGCAGTTAAATATAGCAATTGTTTAGCAAATTAAGCTTTAGGAAAAATGTATAATTTTATTTATTTTATAACATGTATACTGTAGATAGATTAATTAGTGTGCATATCTGAAATGCACATCTTATATTTCATCGAGATAAATAATTTTTTACAAGTGAATATGTAATATATAATACATAAACATATACAAACGTTCGTAATCATACATAATTATATATGGGATATGTCCATACATGTTCATACATTCTTTTTTCTTTTGTAAAATTACCATTTAGGGTAATAGAAATAATAGTGAGAAAAAACACATCAAAAATAATGAAAAGGATAATTTTCACATTGTTGTTGTAAAAAAATTGTTCATGTACAATTATATATAAT